TTGATACTTTTTTTTTTTTTTTTTTTAGTTGGAGTCTCACTCTGTCGCCCAGACTGGAGTGCAGTGGCTGCTCCCGGCCACCGTAGCCTCGACCTGCTGGGCTCCGGCGATCCCTCTGCCTCAGCCTTCCAAGTAGCTGGAACTACAGGTGCATGCTACCACGCCCGGCTCATTTTTTTGATTTATTGTAGAGACGAAGTCTCGCCAAGTTGCCCGGGAGGGTCTCGAACCCTTAGACTCAGGCGATCCTCTCGCCTCTGCCTCCCAAAATGCTGGGATTACAGGCTAAGCCACTGAGCCCGGTCTGTTGATACTTTTCTGAGGGAGTTCTCATCCTTTGCCTTCTATGATGACTTATTTTATGCACTAGAATGTAAGCCCCTTAAAAGCAGAGACTGTGTCTCACCCATCTTTGCTCTACTATGGCTATTTGATTCTCACAGCAGCTCTGGATAAGAAGAAACTGAGGGTTAGGACTGGTTCGGGCCGCAGTGCTGGTGGACAACACCATGAAGACCGGAAGCCTGGTTTTCCAGTCCTGAGCTGGAGACCCATCCACTTCAACCTCTCAGTCTAAGAAAGATCTGAGGATTTGGGAGGGGTAAGAGCTTCTCTGGGGAGCTCAGTGCTTAGCAGAGCCGCCATCTTGGACCTTCACAAGGCAGAGCTAATGTCAAAGCTGGGTGGGGGGTGAGGGGGCATTGGGGTTCACCCTTGGAGGTGGGACTGTGACTTCCTGGGTCTGGCCAGCCTTAAGGGGGCCTGAACCCCAAACACACAGTGAGGTCATTGTCTGGACACTGACTCTTCCCCTTATATCTGGCTTCTTTCTGCCCCCTCCCTCAGGGAGCAGCCCCTGGCCAAGGCTGGTCTCTCCAGAATACGCACATTCCCTGTAACTAACTAGTCACGGGGCATCAATAATTTGAGCAGAGTTAAAAGCAAGGTGGGAGACTCCCTCACTCGTTGGGATTGTAAACCCCGTATAGGAATTTGAATCATAAACTTGCTTGATTATAAAACTGTTTGCTGGCCGGGCTCAGTGGCTCAGCCTGTCATCCAGCACTTTGGGAGGCCGAGGTGAGTGGATTGTCTGAGCCTGCGGGTTCGAGACCAGCCCGGGCAACTTGGCAAGACCTCGTCTTTACTATAAAATCAAAAATTAGCTGGGCAGGGTAGCGCGTGCCTGTAGTTCTGGCTACTTGGAAGGCTGAGGCAAAAGGATTGCTGGAGCCCAGCAGGTTGATGCTGGGGTGGCCTTGAATGTGCCACAGCACTCCAGCCTGGGTGACAGAGCGAGACTCTGACTCAAAAAACAAACAAGAATTGCTTGTTATACTGCCCCAAGGTGCAGATTCTTCACCGACCTGCCGCCATCAATGCTCTCCTGTAAGTTTTAATAAACCAGTGTCTCTCCCTGCTGGGCCTCTGACTTCTTTGGAATAGATAAACTTTATGCACACGCCCTCTCGGATTTGGAACCGCTGTGTTACACTCCCTCCTTCATCCAGCCTCTCCCTTTCCTCTGCCCACGTGCTGGGGATGACGGTTGCCAGGGAGAGATCCAGCATGGGTTTCCTGTCCTGAGCTGTTCCTGCTATCAACATGCAGAGGAGAAGGCCATCTGGGCCGATCTTACCATCAAATACGGCACGGCTGTACTGAGTTGTTGACGCCAAAGGCTTACAGGTCGTGTCAAACTTGTTGCCATAGTTTCCGATGCTGACTTCAAACTGAATGGCCTCCCCGACGTCCTGCAGCATGGTGGCCGAGTGGAACACGGCGGACAGGCTGTACTTCCGCCTCCGCTGGTATTTCTACAAAGCACGATCAGACACAAGGTTCAGCGAGACTCCTTTGGTCCTTATTTACATGGGGGTTTCTAGCAGATACAATTCTAAACCTAATAATTTGTGCTGAATTAAATAGCAGGGGAGCCAGGCATGGATGGTGGCTCACACCTGGAATCCCAGCATTTTGGGAGACTGAGGTGGGAGGATTGCTTAAATCCAGGAGTTCGAGATCAGCCTGGGCAACATAGGGAGACCTTGTCGCTACAAAAAATTAGCCAGGCATAGTGACATGTGCCTATTGTCCCAGCTACTCAGGAAGCTGAGGTGGGAGGATCGTCTGAACTCAGGAGGTCGAGGCTCCGGTGAGCCATGATCGTGCCACTGCACTCCAGCCTGGGTGACAGAGTAAGACACCAACTTAAAAGAAAGAAAGAAAGAAAAAGAACTAGCAGGGGAGAATGTTCCTGGACCCAGCAGTTAGTTCCCCTTGTTCTCACATAAGTGAGCAAAGATAGAGGTACTAAGAAGTTGATTGAAATGTTGATCAAACTAGAAAAAAATGAAAACAATACTCAAGTCTGTCAGTAGGCCACTGGTCAGACAATATGTTACATCCATATAATGAAATGAAAGTCCATAAAAAGACTTAAGTAGGTCCATATGTGCAAACATGAAAAAAAGTACATTTTAGGTGAATCCATTTTAACATATATATTTTACTATTGGCATATTCTGGAAGGTCTGGAAAAACATAAATTGTTAGCAGTAGTTATGCTGGAGAAAGTCAAGAGATGATGGCAAGCTTTACTGTCTAACTTACAAATTTTTAGTTTTTTGAGTTAAGCACTAATTTTTTAATAGAAATAACAAACAAGAGTCTAATGTCAGATGTAAAAGGAAGTGATATTAGATGAACTTATTTTTCTGGAATGGAAATTGAGCTAACGTCCTCCCCCCTTCTCTCTGTCTTTCTTTCTTTCTTTCTTTCTTTCTTTCTTTCTTTCTTTCTTTCTTTCTTTCTTTCTTTCTTTTCTTTCTTCCTTTCTTCCTTCCTTCCTTCCTTTCTTTCTTTCTCTCTTTTCTTTCTTTCTTTCTTTCTCTTTCTTCCTTCCTTCCTTCCTTCCTTCCTTCCTTCCTTCCTTCCTTTCTTTCTTCTTCCTTCCTTCCTTCTTTCATTCTTCTTAAATTACTGGTTTGCTAAGGGAGCTGAAGACGGGGCCAGCAATAGCCACACTGAGTATCCACCAGCCCGGCAGAAGCGACCAGGAACCTCCAGACCTTCCTTCATGGGCCCATAACATCCCTGAACCCACATCCTGCCCCGAATCCTTGCTCCAAGGCATAGCTCCTTCTTTACACACACACCCGCCTTCAGCAGCCAACCAGCCCTGGATGGCTGAAGTTGCTGAACCTCACGATGGCCTTGTCTACACATTCTGCTGTGTCTGTTGTACTGACCACATCAGAGTCTGCCCTGGAATTCTGTTGCCGTCCCAGTCTCTGCTTTCAATTATTTGGGGGTATAGACCCAGAAGTGAAATTGCTGGATCACAGGGTAATTCTATTTTTCTGTTGTCGTTGTTGAATCGGAGTCTCACTCTGTCGCCCAGGCCGGAGTGCAGTGGCATGCTCACAGCCACTGCAGCCTCGACTTGCTGGGCTCAGGCGATCCTTCCTCCTCAGCCTTCCAAGTAGCTGTAACGACAGGCGCGTGCTACCATGCCCGGTTTATTTTTTTATTGTAGAGACAAGGTCTCGCCAAGCTGCCCAGGCTAGTCTCGAACCCCTGGGCTCAGTCAATCCTCTCGCCTCGGCCTCCCAAAGTGCTGGGATTACAGGCATGAGCCACCATGCTCAGCTTCTATTTTCAATTTTGGAGGACTGTTTTAAGAACTTCTAACAGAGAATGTAGCATGTGGTCTTGAAGAATCGAGGGACAGAACACTGTTACAAAGTCCTCATTTTGGTTAAAGGAATTATTTTTTTAAGAAACATGTCTAAGCCGGGCTCGGTGGCTCAGCCTGTAATCTCGCGCCTTTGGGAGGCTGAGGGGAGTGGATTGCCTGAGACCGCGGGTTTGGGACCCGCCTGGACAACTTGGCGAGACCTCATCTCTACAAGAAATAAAAAAACCAGCCGGGCGTGGTGGCGCGCTCCTGTAATTCCGGCTACTCGGAAGGCTGAGGCGGAAGGATCGCCGAAGCCCAGCAGGTCGAGGTTGCGGTGAACCGGAGTGGCCACTGCACTCCAGTGTGGGCGACAGAGTGAGACTCCAACTCAAACAAACAAACAAAAAAAGAAACATGTCTGACTCTGTTACACAAGCTGCAGTGCAGTGATGCGATCAGCTTACAGTAACCTCAAACTCCTGGGCTAAAGAAATCCTTCTGCCTCAGCTCTTGAAGTAACTGGGACTACAGCTGTGTGCCACCGCCCCCAAATAAAATCAAGAATACAATTTTACTTTTAGCTTTTTTAGAGACAGGGTCTTGCTATGTTGCCTAGGCTGGTCTCAAACTCCTGGCCTCAAAAGATCCTCTCACCTCAGGAAACTTTGGACATGGTAAAATAAAACTCTGCAATAAGGTTTTATCAGAAGCCCCTCTGAGCCTCAATTCTTTTACAGAGTCTTTCTAAAACACTGATTCACAAGCTGCATGCTGAATTACCTGGGAGCTTTGGCCTGGGCCCTGGGACTTTAAGAGCTCCCCTGCCTTAGGCCACTGTCACTTTGGTAGAGGGGACTTGGGGGAGACTTAGACTACTTGTCGAGAGCTCTGCTCGGTCACCCACCACTGAGCCCCTGAGCCATCCACAGTTCTGAAAGGCTGCGGAAATTCCGAGTTTGAGTTTGAATTGTGTAAACGTTAAAAAGCAGGAAGCTATTTGGGTTAGTCAGAACTTCCATACACAGCATAACTTCTCCTTTGTAAACCACCCAGGATGATATAAGAGAAGGGAAGAAGCTAAAAACAGGAAACGTAATTGGAGGCCTGAGTCAGGGCCCAGGAGAAAATGACCAGTATTAAAGCCAGCACCCACCTGTTCAGCCAGGGGCTGCCGGGAGCAGGGGTGGGGGTGGAAAAGGGGGTGGGTTCCTGAGGGAGGCTTGAGGGAGGCCTGGGGAGGTTGCTCTGGCCAGACCGGCTGTACCCTGCCCACCTCCACAGAGCCAGGATTCCGCGCGAGATCTCCCTGGATGGTCTCAGGCAGAACTGGAGCTGGTCCAGTCGCAGGAATCCCGATAGGGTGCTCACCCTGGCGAGTCTGAGCACTGAAAACAATGTAGGGGCTTCCGGCCCTCAGCTCACTGAAGATGGAGCGGGTCCCTGGACCCCTTGGCAAAGATCAAACTCCACAGAGCGCACCCCTCCCATCCGCTCACCTGCCCGGGAGCCTGGGCTACCCTCCGTTGGGGCAGCTGAGAATTCTGGGGGTCCCTCAGCCCTTTCCCACTCTTCCTCTGTCCTCAGGGCACCACGAGGTGGAGAGAGGAAGAAATAAACACCCTGTGGAGAAGTACAGAGCCTCAGCTTTTGTTCTGGGACCTCTCTTAGTAGCCTGGGAGCAAAGCCGTCCACAATCCGGAAGGTTGAAGACTGTGAATTACAGTCTATAGGACACAGATGGATGCTTTTCTGGGTAGGGCCCTGGGGGTCTCTTTCTGATCATCCGTGATTAGTGATTAGTACACATTGTAGATGGGTGGTATTCACAGGGCAGGGCTTCAGAAATCCATCTGGGGAAGGAGGTGACTTTTGTCAAGCAGGATACTGATAAGGGGTAAGTTTCAGGAAGCAGCTGTGGGCGGCACTAAGGGTCAGTGACAAGGAGATTAGGTGCCAAAGAAAACTGCCCACCATGCCACCCCTTGGTCCGTTTACTAAAGATGGCTGACACGTGATGGAACAGATGGAAGCATCTGAAGGTGCTCTTTCGAGCAATATTTATTGAGCCCTTAATGTGGGTCAGTCTGATGGGAGATCTCAAGGAGGTTCTACTTGGAAAGGAGAGAGAACAAAATCCCAAAGGATGCTCTCCAAAAGGTCAGGTCATAAGGAGACCGGGAAGGAAGCAGGGAGGGGCAATCCCGGAATGGATCCCCGGTCATGGAGACAACAGCCAGGGTTCTTTAGTGGCAGGGCAGAGTTTCCAGAAGCCAGCGAGGGTGAGAATAGCGCTGGGTTGGCAACACTGACCCTGCCTCCTCCCCCCTCCCTGGGCATCTCTCGGCCAGGCCCACCTGAGCAACAGGGGGACTCTGTTCTAGGAAGATGGGGTGTTTGGCGTTCTGGCAACCGAGTAGTCCTTTTGTTGCAAACTCTTCAGCTCTGCCAAAGAGGTGTGTTACCCACACGTGACCCAGAACACGGGACCTTCGTAAGACAGACAAGGCTCACACTCACGGTCTAGGCTGATCACACTCCCATGACCCAGAACATGGGACCTTTGAAAGGCAAACAAGGCTCACGATCACAGTCTAGGCCGGCCACACTCATCAAATCCTCCTGGCAGGTGGCACGAGCTGCCCTGTCCATGTCACCCGCTCCCGTTGCTCCTGGCTACTTGAGGGGAGGCTATGGCCTCAGGGTCTCAGGCTCTCCTGCTTTGTCAGGCTGCCAGGTTTTTTCACTTTTGCTTCATCTGACTACTGTTTTTGTTAAATTTATTTAATAAAAAAAAGATAGGCCATTTTGCCATCCGTGTTTAATCACTGAGGGCGAAATTCTGTTTTGTAGAGCAGTTCATAAAAAGTTGTTCTTTAATACTGTTGACATAAATTGTGGACAATATATATTGGCTCTTTGTATTTGTGGTTTTTATTTTTGCTAATTTTTTTTTTTTGAGTTCTCACTCTGTCACCCAGGCTTGAGTGCGGTGGCATGCTCACGGTCACCACAGTCTTGACCTGCTGGGCTCAGGCGATCCTTCCACCTAAGACTTCCAAGTAGCTGGAACTACAGGCGCGCATCACCACATTCGGCTAATTTTTTGGTTTACTGTAGAGACGAGGTCTTGCCATGTTGCCCAGGCTAGTCTCGAACCCCTGAGCTCAGGCAATCCTCTTGCCTTCGCCTTCCAAAGTGCTGGGATTATAGGCATGAGCCACCGCGCCTGACTTATTTTTAGTAAATTAATGCAATAAGCTTTGCCTGCATGTGTTTAATTACTTGCAGGAAAGAAAACTAATTTGCTTTTGCATTCCAGTTCATAAGGGGTTTTTCCTTTGCCCTTTGCTGGGCCTCTTCCCCTCCTCACCGCCCCCACCATGGTTGTTTAAAACAAAGTAAAGGAACATGGACTTAAGCCATAAAATGGTGATGGAGCAAAACACAGAGGCACCATAGTGTTGGTATTCATGGTTAAACTTCCACACAATCCAGAATTTGAACCAACATCTTTAAGAGCCAGCTCTGGCTGGGCGTGGTTGCTCATGCCTATAATCCCAGCACTTTGGGAGGCCGAGACAGGAGGGTTGCTCAAGCCCAGAAGTTCAAGACCAGCCTGGACAACATAGTGAGACTTCGTCTCTACAAAATTTAAAAAATTAACTGGGCATGGCGGTACACACCTATAGACCCGGCTACTGGGGAGACAGAGGGAAGAGGATTGCCTGAGCCCAGGAGGTCGAGGATGCAGTGAGCCATGATTATGCCACTGCACTCCAGCCTGGGTGGCATAGTGATACTTCAACTCAAGGAAAAGAAAAAAGGAATTTTGGGCAGACATAAACTTTCAGATCATTGAAAATTGTAAGAAATATGTTCCTGAGAGCAAACTTCAGAATTCAAGAATAGCATGATATTCTGTCATTTCCCAAATAAACTCTATGTAACGAAGTAACTGAAAAATTTGGGAGACTCCTTCAGACCCTAACTGAGTGTTGCCACATCAGTGTCAGGAATAGTGAACCGCAAAGCTTCACCCTCCCTGGTATGCACACCGGATGGTTGGCTATGTGCATACAACATTCACAGACCTGCCTCTCGGTACATTGGACTTATAAAGTCTCACCTCAGGGAACCCAGTTCCTTACTACGCATCAAGAAACTTAGAGAAAACGTAAGAGTTGTCAAAACCATTCCTGTTAAATCTGAGAATGGCATGATGGCACCAGTGGCATTATGGTATTGATGGCATAATGATAATACTCATGCGTCTGTATGTCAGTGGGGATGGGGGTAATGAGAAGTCAGAGAAGGGCTCTATAATTCTCCAAGTGCTATCCCTCAATGAGTGATTGTCATAACCTGGCTTTCACGTCGACTTCTGTAAAAGAGGTTGGCTCAGAAAAAAAAAAAATCTGCCCCGAGATTTTAAAATTTGATATTAATACATTAATGTAGACAAACTGAAATAACTCTCATGTTGTAAAAGCTGTATTTTGAGACGTAGAGATGTGAATTCACATTCAAGGCAGACCATTCCTTTGTTTTGAGAAAATGTTTTGGGCGGATACTCAAGTGATGATGTAAAGAAAATATCTGCCATGGTTTTTTTTACAATTTAAACTACCTGAATTCAACTGTTCTGGTTGGTAACGTAAACTTTTTTTTTTTTTTTGAGTTGAAGTCTCACTCTGTCGCCCAGACTGGAGTGCAGTGGCCGCTCCCGGCCACCGCAGCCTCGACCTGCTGGGCTCCGGCGATCCTTCCGCCTCAGCCTTCCGAGTAGCCGGAACTACAGGCACACGCTACCACGCCCGGCTGATTTTTGATTTATTGTAGAGATGAGGTCTCGCCAAGTTGCCCGGGCGGGTCTTGAACCTGCGGGCTCAGGCAATCCACTCACCTCAGCTTCCCAAGGCGCGGGATTACAGGCTGAGCCACCGAGCCCAGCAGTAATGTAAACTTTTAAGTGTAGGTTTAAGCCAGGGTATGTTATCATCTTTGCAACTCTGTGGGGAGAGAGACTTCTTTTCCATGTATGAAGTCAGACCAATGTCCTGTGGCTCGCCTGTGTGGGATGGAAGTTTCCATCCTGAGGCTGACGGGTGGGAACACAGGTTGTCTCAGGAAGAATGGACAGCTCGATCCTTTCCTCTAGAGAAGGAGACGGGTTTGAAACTGATGCTGTTTTCCCCTGGACCACTGATGCTCCTACATGCACAGACTGGAGAACCCAGAATATTCTAGGACGCGAACCTCCCCATAGAACCATCTTCTGGGGAGTCACTGCGCAAGGCCACATGGCTCTGGGGGAGTAGGGACAGTTTCCTCTAAAGGGAATGGACATTCCCCCTGGCGGTCATCAAGAAAAGGGGGTGGATCTCATAACAGGCAGACATCCGACGACGACTAGAAGGAAGGAGAAAGCCTTCGCTTGCTTGAGAACTTGTGGCCGCTGGGCTGGACTTTGGATGAAGATGTGTTCAGGGCACCACGGGAGTTTGGGGAGGACAGAGAGCCGAGGCCTGCCACCGGGAGGCAGGCTGGGAGCAGAGCGGAAGGCCAGAGACCCAGAGAGCCGGCCTGAGCTGGTGGGCAGTGAGGTCTGTAACAGCCCCTGGCCACCCATTCACTGTGTCTTCCTGTTCTTGTCCTGGAACTGACAGTGAAAGCTTTAACCAAGTTGCTGTTTGGTTTTCTGCAGTCCTGCAGGAGAAACCAGAGCAGGGGCTGTTCCGTGCTGGGAATGGATGGTGTATGACAGGGGGGTGGCAGTGGCCTGAGGAAGCTGGGGTGGGGGCTGGCGGTGACTTGCAACCTAGCCAAGAGTGGCCCCGGACACAGGGGCGTCTGCGAGTGGCTGCTTTGGCAAACAATTCGGATCTCCACGTGGACATCACCTGGGATTCTCAGAAATAGTGGGGAAAGGTAAGTGAGAGGACTTCCTGTCTTGGGGTGGGGGTCAGTCAGCATGCCTTCCCACACCGGGACGCCTAAGAGACAGTCGCCACCTCTGAACACTGAAACGACTCGTGATGGCACCTTCAGCATTCGGGGGTGGCACCTGTGGCCACCTCCCCATGAGCGCCCAACTCCAGGAAGCAATCGACCATTTAGTTTGGGGGTATCAGGGTACTCTCTCATTTTGTTTTTTTTCTTGACTTGAAGTCTTACCCTGTCACCCAGGCTGGAGTGCAGTGGCATGTTCACAGACACGGCAGCCTCGACCTACTGGGCTCAGGTGATCCTTCCGCCTTAGCCTCCCAAGTAGCTGGGACTACAAGTATGGGCCACCATGTCCAGCTAATTTTTTAATTTCTTTGAGTCGGAGTCTCACTCTGTAGCTCAGGCTGGAGTTCAGTGGCGTGCTCACGGCCACCACAACCTCGACATGCTGGGCTCCGGTGATCCCTTCGCCTCAGCCTTCCAAATAGTTGGAACTACAGACGCACATTATCACGTCCAGCTTATTTACTTGATTTATTGTAGAGGCGAGGGCTCACCAAGTTACCCAGGCTGGTCTCGAACCCCTGAGCTCAGGCAATCCTCTCGCCTCAGCCTCCTAAAATGCTGGGATTACAGGCTTGAGCCACCATGCCTGGCCTTGATATATTGTTGAAACGAAGTCTTGCCAAGTGGCCCAGACTGGTCTCAAACCTCTGGGCTCAGGCAATCCTCTCCCAAAGTGCTGGGATTACAGGCGTGAGCCACTATTCCTGGTTTTCTTACCAGTTTTCAGTTGGCTATAAACATCTCAAAACAAGAAGGAGGTCTCATCACCCACACAGAGCTGTTGTAGACACATTCAGAGGTTGTTGAGGACACGTGCTAGGAGTCGGTCTCCTTCCGACTCTACCCCAGCTGACTTTTCTGTCCCCAGAGGTCCCCGTGTCTATGCCACGCACTATTCACACACCAACAATTACCTCAACAACCAGCAGGTCGTCATTGGAAATGGGCTCAAGCTTTTTATCTGGTGGTGTCTTCTCAAGAAAAGTGGTCAGTTCAACCAAGATCCTGCCTCTGTAGGCAACGCCTTCCCCCTGAAAGGCAATAACACAGGATCATTCCTCTAGGCAGGAAAAACAGCAAAAACCACTGTCTCTCTAGTACAGCTAACACAGCCACAAATGATTCCTCCTTCCCATGGCTCTGACTTTCTTTTTTCTTTTTTTTTTTTTGAGTTGGAGTCTCACTCTGTCGCCCAGACTGGAATGCAGTGGCCGCTCACAGCCACCGCAGCCTCGCCTGCTGGGCTCCGGCGATCCTTCCGCCTCAGCCTTCCGAGTAGCTGGAATTACAGGCATGAGCTACCACGCCCGGCTGATTTTTTGATTTATTGTAGAGATGAGGTCTCGCTGCCCAGTCGGGTCTCGAACCCACGGGCTCAGGCAATCCACTCACCTCAGCCTCCCAAAGGCACGGGATTACAGGCTGAGCCACCGAGCCCGGCTGGCTCTGACTTTCAAAATGAATCAGCCAGCAACTCTCCCAGCTGGATTCGGGTCTTTAGTGGTTTGAAAGGAGAGATACCGATGTCAGAAAGGATCTCAAAGAGCGCCATGGGTTGCCCAGGCTAAAAGGTCTCCTAGCTATGACCCTGGTCAGAGGCTTTCAAACCATGCTCTGGTCCAGAAGGATCTGTAGAGGCTGAGGTGAGGGTGGATGGGGCTTGAAGTCGCCCTCATCTTCCATTAGCCGGGAGGCTCTGCCTCAGTCTATGCTAACCTGGCTTCCTTTCACCTCTTCTCGGAACAGGGAGGCTGCCATGTTGGCAATCAGGGCAGGTCTCCAAGTGGCCGGAAGTAAAGGAGGAAGATGTCCTGGGTGGGGCTGAGCATGCAGATGAAGAGTGGATTCTCCTCCCGCCAAACCCAGAAGTATTGGCAATAGAATCTTCTGGAGAGGAAGGGAGGGCTCCCTCCTCCACAGCAAGTCTTCTGCGTTTCCCTAACCAGGGCTTTCTCTTTCTACCTTAGTCCCTATCTTGAGCCTTGAGAGATCATTAGAAGACCTGGCTTCCGTTGTGGTGGAAAGATCATGTCTCACCTCTGGGCCCCCAGGTTGTTCAGGAAATGAAAGGGTTGCTCAGATCAGGGATAGCACAGGTGTTCCGGAGGCATGGCACTGCCTGCTGCTTGCTAAACTCCTGGAACACGGTGTTGAAAAGATTCCAAGGCAGCACAGTGGCTGATTTGGAAAGACAGCCGGCATCGATTACCAATGTCTGCTGTGAGCATAGAAGTTGGGGAAATGGCCATTTGCCATCACCAACATTAGACGACCTCCAGGATCTTTTCCTATCCTTGCATTTTAAGACTTGAGAAGTGGAAGAATTATTATTTTTTTTTTATTAAAAAATTTCTTTTTGTAGAAACAAGGTTTTGCCATGTTCCCCAGGCTGCTCTCAAACTCCGGGTTCAGGCAATCCTCTCGCCTCAGCCTCCCAAAGTGCTGGGATTACAGACGTGAGCCACCACATCTGGCCTTTTTTAAAAAAAAATTTTTTAATTTTCTTTTTTTTAGTTGGGGGTCTCGCTGTTGCTCAGGCTGAATGCAGTGGCACGATCATGGTTCACTATAACCTTGCCCTCCTGCACTCAGGTGATCTTCATGCCTCAGCCTCCCAAGTAGCTGGGACTACAGGCATGCACCACCAGGCCTGGCTTATTTTTTCATATTCTGTAGAGACGAGGTCAGAGAAGAGGTCTCACTATGTTGCCCCGGCGGGTCTTGAACTCCTGGGTTCAAGCAATCCTCCTGCCTTGGCCTCCCAAAGTACTGGGATTATAGGCATGAGCCACCGTGCTTGGTTGTATGCAAGACTTTTATCCTTGCCTCTACTTATGATATTAATTACAGCCGTCCTAAGAAGGAATCATATTAGCCAGGGTTCACATGTAACAACCTTAAGTGAGCAACTAACCTTTCCACTATTGAGCTCATCATAGGGGTCCGGGAACCCTGTGTACTCCCTGGGGCTTCCGTAGAGGTTCAGATAACAAGGCCCAAACGTTGGAACGAAGCCCACTTCTGTTTCTCCTGTATTTACTGAGAGATCAAGACCATCATTAGATTTTAGGCTCTGACCATTCAGTCTATTGAAATAAATATTAGTTACGAGTTAGCTAGGTGAGACTCTTTTCTGCCATTCGATGAGTTAGTTGTATTAGTGCAGATTGTAAGACTTGCCATATTTCTCTTTTCCAATTGCTATAAAACATTAAATAAACAAAATATTTTGAGGGTAGCACAGGTAAACACATTTTTAGAAAAAGATAATACTATTGGAATGAAAGGTTTTTGCATCGACCTTTACATTTCTTGCAAGTTTATAACTGGCGTCGTATTAAACATGCCACTGGCAATTGGGATAAAAGATTGCATTGTTTTAGGAACTCATTTAAATGATGCATCAGATTAACTTTATGTATTCCCTCAAGGATGTCATTTAATCTTAAGCAGTTAAGTATAACTCTGGCAGATGCTGTTAAAAATGGAAGACATTTAAAAAGTATGTATGTAACAAAGAGCTGTGTGTGTGTGGTTGTAAGTTGATATGATATTCACAAATGGTGTGAAGATTCCATTCATAAGTTTCTATCTCTGGTGACCATATGACAAACTCCTTATTTCTTCCACTTGATCTTAGCAAGACTCCTCTCCAATCTGGGGCACTGAGGGTAAGGTAAGGAACAGCTGAAACAAGGGGCGACTGGGGGTGAGGGTGGACATATAAGAGCTGCCTCCTCGACTCTGAATGGTCCCATATGGAAGACTGAAGGACGCATCTCCAAAAGCAGAGTTAGGATCACTGCTGAGAGCCACAGGGAGGCCAGCTTTGTTTCACTCCATGTAAGGAAGAACTTCCTGTGAATTAGAGATGCAGTGAAACAGTGGGACAGATTGCATTAAGGACAGTCAGTAGGAATGCCCAGGCAAAGGCTTTAGCCTGTCGTTCAGGATGTTGCCAAGATAGTCCCTCTTGTGGGTGACAAGCTGGCCAGATCACCGCTACGACCCTTTCCAACTCTGTGCTTAAAATTAAGGGAGAAAGAGGAATGTGGAGTGACAGGTGAGCAGAACTGCCCGTGAATGAACAACTGGCCTAACTGTGTGGACAAGTTCTGCCCAGTCGGTTTCATGATGTGAGGCTCCCTGTATATTTCAATGGGTGTGCACACTTTTGCGGGGTGGGGGGAGAGATAGAGACTAATGCATACAGTCAGAAATCAGCTGACCAGCAATCTCAGTGAAGATCGCAAGAGAAAAGAAACATTTAGGTTAAAATTTAGAAAATTGGCCGTTGTTTCCTTAAGCACTGGCCAGGTCATGTGTTCTCTGAGCTATGGCTACCATGTTTTCTTAGCTTTGGCCCTCTCCCCAACCTTGGGGAGGTGAATCTTCTCTCTCTCTCTCTCTCTCTTTCTCTCTCTAATTTACTTTCTAAATAAACTTTGCTTGAAAACTTAAAAAAAAAAACTTAGAAAATTGGCCGGGTTATCCCAGCACTTTGGGAGGCCAAGGCGAGAGGATTGCCTGAGCCCAGGAGTTCAAGACCAGCCTGGGCAACTTGGTGAGATCTCTTCTCTACAATAAATCAAAAAATTAGCGGGGTGTGGTGGTGCATGCCTGTAGTTCCAGTTACTTGGAAACCTGAAGCAGAAGGATTGCCTGAGCCCGGGAGGTCAAGGCTGCGGTGGCTGTGAGCATGCCACTGCACTCCAGCCTGGGCAACAGAATGATGATAATAATAATAAATAAAAACTTATCACCAAATTACACAGTCATCTGCAGTTTGAAGTAAAACAACACCTTAAAAATAATAATAACAAAACCTTAGAAAATTAAGGTGTAGAAAAGCAATATAGCCGGGCTCGGTGGTTCAGCCTGTAATCCCGCACCTTCGGGAGGCTGAGGTGAGTGGATTGCCGAAGCCCGCGGGTTCGAGACCCACCTGGGAAGCGAGACCTCATCTCTACAATAAATCAAAAATCAGCCGGGCGTGGTAGCGCACGCCTGTAATTCCGGCTACTCGGACGGCTGAGGCGGAAGGATCGCCGGAGCCCGGCAGGTCGAGGTTGCGGTGGCCGGGAGCGGCCACTGCACTCCAGTCTGGGCGACAGAGTGAGACTCCAACTCAAAAAAAAAGAAAAAAAAAAGAAAAGCACTATGTGACAGCTGAAGGGTAAGGCTTGGTAACACCCTGGGGAGTCACATCTCATACCTGCTTGGAAATCTTTTATGAAACCCAAACAGGGACCAATAGATTTATCGGAGCCATGTTATCATCTTTAAGAAAAATGAAGAGGATGAAATGAATTACTATTTTATCTGAACATAGAGAGGGGTTTGGCTTTAACTACTCTGCCATATGGAACACTGCCAGGTTGACTAATCGCTTACTAATAAGCAGGATTTAGAAGTCTTTCCTGCACTAGAAACTTCTGGTGTGGGGGAGTGATGTCAGGAAGGAGTAGAGAATTAAAGCAGAGACTCGTACAGAGAGAAAAGTCATTTCTAGAAGTTGAATCCCAGAATGTTCAAGCAATGAGGGATCTTAAAGCTATTACACCCTAGTCATGTCACATTACAAATGGGCAAACTGAGACCTACAGAAATGACATGACTTGTCAAAGGTCCCACAAGTTGGAGATTTAGGCCCAGATCTTGAGTGTCAAAGCTCAGACGAGGTTACCCTCCACTCCATCATTCCTTTGGCCTAACCCCACCTGTCTTTCGCCTGGTTCCCACAAGTTACTGTGTTGTCTGTCATGTGTATTTATGTGCTGTTCATTAAAGATCTCCAGGGACGGAGACACAAATTATCAATAGTGATCCACTGCGTGTCACCCAAGGACTTAATTCTTTGTGTCCAACCAAATCTTTTCCTGGCGTTTGAAGCCCTTGACTTGTTTGGGCGTGCACTAACATGAAAAATCTTCCTTCTACGTGTTCATGTCTCAACAGTCTCCTGGGAAAGCCAATTTTCTCACAAGCTAAGTCTTTTCCAGACTCGAAACTTTCCTAACCTATTTAGAAACAGTTGTCACATCAAACTTCCCAATGCTCTTCCTGAAGAGCCACTACAAAATAAAACAAAAATTCTTTTTTTTTTGAGTTGGAGTCTCACTCTGTCACCCGGGCTGGAGTGCCCTGGCACACTCACGGCCACCCCAGCATCGACCTGCTGGGCTCCTGCGATCCTTCCATCTCAGCCTTCCAAGTAGCAGTAACTATAGGCTCAGGCTACCACGCCTGGCTCACTTTTTTGATTTATTGTAGAGATGAGGTCTCGCCAAGTTGCCCAGGCTGGCCTCGAACCCGCGGGCTCAGGCAATCCACTCGCCTTGGCCTCCCAAAGTGCTGGGATTACAGGCTGAGCCACCGAGCCTGGCCAACAAAAATTCTTTAGCCCGGCCTTCGAGGATTTCCTCTGACCCCCTGTTCCAAACAATATTTCCCATGCCTCCTTCGCACCTGAGGACTCCTGGTGTTTTGGACTTCCATAAATAATTATATTTTAGTTTTTAGAACCTCAAATAGCTATTTATCTCTGTGGCTGTCATATAAACTCCTTTCACGGGGAGTGGGGGAATTAAGCGTGTTTTATTTTGATTTCCTCTTCTATCATTTATTTTGATCTCTTTTATTCATTGGCTAAACAAATGAATGAAAGAGTGAAGTGTTTGCAAATCTGCCAAGTTCACTGCAAATCTAAAGACTACTTAATATTCATATAAAGTCTGATTATAAGGTAATGAAATTGCCCAGGCTGCTGGCGTGCAGTAGCACGCTCAAGGCCACTGCAGCCTTGACCTGCTGGGCTTCTGCGATCCTTCCGCCTTGGCCTTCCAAGTAGCTGGAACTACAGGCACGTGGCACCACGCCCAGCTAATTTTTTGATTTGTTGTAGACATGAGGTCTCACCAAATTGCCCACGTTGGTCTCGAACCCATGGGCTCAGGTAATCCTCTCACCTTGGCCTTCCAAAGTGCTGGGATTATAGGCGTGAGCCACCGAGCCCAGTCAAAATTGATTTGTTTAGAACAAATAAGAATTGGGAATTGTGTCAACTATAAAGGCAGGTGACATCACCTCATATCTGCACAGAGCTTCTGGCCTGACACCGGGAGATGAGGATGCCAGGGATGACAAATCTTTTGAAACCTCAGAGTCCTCATCTATGAGGAGAGTGTTAACATCTGCCCCAGGAGAGCTGTGATGGTCACGTGTGCGAGACTGCTGAACAAACTTGCAAAAAATGACAAGTTCTGTGCAAACCGAAAACACATTATAATCCCTCACATTTGGGCAGTGAAGACCTTCAAGGTACAAAAAGGAAAGTGTTCTGGATCTTTCAACCTAGAGATCTAGGTTGAAAATGGAGGAAAGTTACTTCAAGCATTCCCTCACTCCATCCCACTCTAGTTTTTTGAGTCAGGGTCTCACTCTGTTGCCCAGGCTGGAGTGCAGCGGCACAATCATGGCTCACTGCAGCCTCAGTCTCCTGGACTCAGGAGATCCTTCCGTCTCAGCCACCCAAGTAGCTGGCACTACAGGCTTGCACCACCATGCCTGGCTAATTTTTTTATTTTTTAAATGTTTTCATAGAGACGAGATCTCACTATGTTGCCCAGCCTGATCTCGAACTTCTGGACTCCAGTCATCCTCCCACCTCAGCCTCCCAAAATCCTGGGGTTACAGGCGTGAGCTGTCACTCCCGGCCTTCATAACATTTTAGAACAACTAGTCGAGTGACCCATAGCTCTACCTACCGAATATAAACAATAACAAAAAGCGTTAAATTTCACAAACAGTGGTCTGCAGTGAAGCCAAACACGATGGTGCGTGTTAGGTGAGAACATGTGACACAGAGCAAAGCCTGGTTAGAGTATTTGTTTTAAGCTTAGCCACAGGAGACAACCAGACAGCACTCACACAAAACTTATTACTCTTAGCAAAACGATGCTCGAGTCAACATTAAACAAAGTTTGAAAGGCAACCGGTTAATATGTTCTTAAGAAGATAAACTTAGAAAAATCTAACAGACAACAAAATTACAAGGCATAAACCTGTATACGATGCAGCCCCAGTTCCCGAAGACGAGAAATCTACGTAGTAAAAATACGATTGGTTAAATCATAAGAGAAACATGGGCATTATAAAACAAACACTGAAAACGTTAATCAAATCCAGTGCTAAGTAAATAAGTGGTTTAGCAACACCAGAAAAATTCCAGATTCAGATCCAAGTCACATGGCCCTTTGGTAATTTATACAAGTCTCACCAATTAAATGCAAAATGACTCAAAACTTTGTGACAAGGGATAGAATTGCCACACTTGAATGACGCCATCTCGCCAGTCCCAAGGCAGTCAGGCATCTGAGGGGAGCTAGTTATCTGAGGCCAAAGGAGGCTGGGGAGGTTACTAGCATTTCATGTTTTTGATAAAACATTTACTTGTCTTACGGCTGACTTTGTTGGGGTCCAAGTAAATGTAGTCTGAGACTGTGTAAGTCAAGACCTGTGGTTTATTGTGCATTATTTGATTCAAAGCATGGCTTGTCTCTTTTTTTTTTTGAGTTGGAGTCTCACTCTGTCACCCAGACTGGAGTGCAGTGGCCGCTCCCGGCCACCGCAGCCTCAACCCTCTGGGCTCCGGCGATCTTGCCACCTCAGCCTTCCGAGTAGCCGGAATTACAGGCATGCGTTACCATGCCCGGCTGATTTTTTGTTTTATTGTAGAGATGAGGTCTCGCCAGGTTGCCCAGGCAGGTCTCGAACCCGCGGACTCAGGCAATCCACTCACCTCAGCCTCCCGAGGCGCGGGATGACAGGCTGAGCCACCGAGCCCGGCTGGTTTGTCTCTTTTCGAGGGAGGGAACGAGGGCCCATTGTTATTTAAGTCCCTGTAACAGACTGTGGGCAGGACTTGCAATGAGAGAAGGTCTTAGAGACAGAGGCTAAAACTGCTTGTTAAAAATTCTGGTTTTAGTTCTTCTGGATGTTTGCTTATATTGTTATTTCTTTTCTTTTTCTTTTCTTTTTTTCTTTGTAGAGATGGAGCTCTCACTATGTTGTCCAATTTGGTCTCAAGAAGTCTTCCTACCTTGGCCTCCCAAAGTGCTGGGACTACAGGAGTGAGCCACCACACTTGGCCTTTTTTTTTAATCACTAAAGGACTGAAGATATCTGGGTTTTTATTCTGAATGTTTCTAAGACTGTGTCCATTAAATGCAAACAAAAAAGGAAGAAGTCTTGGCAGAACAGGAGAAGTGACGCGCACTTGATGATCAGATGGATTTAAATATTGTTCATGGTATATAGCCTAGTCCGTGCTCTGGCTGTTTCTATGGCTTGGGCCTCCTTGGTCTTCCATTGCTCTGTAATGTCATTTGCTAGCGGGTCATCCGGGTTGGGAGCACTTAACAAAGCCTGGCTCGAGAGCAGGACTGTGCGGATCTGCAGTGCCGGGGACCACTTATCTTTCAAAATATCTAAACATATTCTTCCCAACTTGTCTACATTAGGATGATAGATTTTGGTCATGAAATGTACTTTAGGGGCTGCCATTGGGTATTCTTCTGGAAAGAATAGTTCAAGTTTAAAAGTCCCTCCCTCGAAGGGGGAATCCTGGGGGCCAGCAATGACCACATGAAAATAACGGGCGTTGCTCTCATCTGGTTCTGCTTTAATGCCAGGAACCGGTTCCGCCAGCAAACGCTGGGTCAACTTGATGATCCTGAGGGGCAGCCCGGTCATCTTGTCAGGTCCCGACTTTGGCCTCTGCTCCCGCACTTGGCCTTTTATCAATATTTCTTGATTAAGTATCTTTGGATATTATTTAACAACTTCCGACGAATAAGAAACGGATTTAAGTCCTTTTTACCCTCCTGCTATATAATTACAGCAAGAGTTTTAATGCCTCTATTGGTTACAGTTATGATTTCATCTAAAGTCATATTGGCATTCCCAACTTGGTAAAAGGAGGCTACCGGTACTCCCACCCTCACCTCTCCTTCCCTTTCTCCCTCCACTTCTCACTCTATCTTCTGTACTTTTACTTTTACATTGTAATGGGTAATAACATTTACACTCTGTTCAGAGCTTTGTCTATACAAATAAACAACAAAGAGTGTTTACATTCTAGCAACTGTATAAATACCATTCCCTGCAGAGAAAGGGGAGGGTTATGATATCATTTTCCTCCATGCGGCTCCAGTATCTGAATCCCTATGTCACTCCACAGAGAACATCACATGGAATCGCTTTCCTACCTTCTATCCTTTACTTAAAATAATATCACATATGACTTTCTATTTGTTCTATATCTTCTGTGTTCCCCTCTTTGTTTTCCTTGGAGTTTTGTATTGCCTTTCTTTTTCTGCTTCTTCTGGAAGGAAATCTAGATTTCTTCACCATATCTCTAATGTCTACTTTACCCTTATCTTTCATTTCCAATACATCTAAGGTTCTTATTCATGTTTTCTAATTGCTTGGATTAACAATGTTTTTTCAAAACCTATAAGACACCTTAAACAAGATGAGGATGAAAAGAACCATGAGTATCCCAAGACAAAATTTTATCGAAGACTCTCTCACTTTGATCAACAGGTTTAGTCTCTCAATATGTTTGATCTATTGACAATTTAAAAACCTTCTGTTTTGGCAACAAAAAATAAGCTGCTGGTATTAATACGTTATCACTAAATTTTTTCTCTTATCATCTTAACTTCCTTCCTTTGTTTCCTATTACAATTTCTGGCATATCCACAGAACCACAATGCCAGGTTGTTTCAAGTCTAGAAAACAACACAAAGAAAATTGCATTGGTTATCAACACTTGTGAGAATAAAAACAAAATGCACATTATCTTAGGATGTGGACATCACATGGTTCACTGGCATCTGACCTCATTGTACCTTCCAAGAGAATCAGCTGAGAAAGGAGTATTATGCTATATCTGGGGTCTCACTATGTTGTCCAGTCTGATCTTGACTTGTATCAATTCCACTCTAAAAAAGAAGGTCCTGACATTCTGTACTGACACTCAAAAATTCATAAAGCAGTTACTGGGAGAGAGATATGGATGAGAGCAAGACAGAAGTCTTCAAACTGTTAGTTGCTTCAGTGATTGTTTTGCTGGCCATCACCAAAACATCACTGAAGTGGTTTTACTAGCCACATTACATCTGGCTTTTAAGAAACCAGGTGTGACCCATAGTCACCCCAGTGCATTTTTTTTCTCCAGAAGTTCTAACTCTTGTGTCGTTCCAGATTTGCTGAGCGACTTACCTTCCACTTCCCCGCCAGAGGCAGCAATTTTAGAGAGGTGTAGATACGTTGTTCCAACGACGTCATTTTTAGTAAGACGGTCCCTGAGTAAAAGAAGAGGTTAAGGACCCCACCTATGAAGATACGTCTTTATTTCAATAATAAAAATAGATAGAGCTGGAAAAACCCCCAGAACTCAGGAATCATCATGTACAGCGGGCCTCAAGCCTTCCTGTACTTAATAATGATCTGGAAACTCTCCACTGTCATCTCCTGCCCACGATTGCAATTCAATAAGGCTGGGGTGGGCACCAAGAGTCAGTATCTGTAACAAGTGTATACCAATTGGTTCTGATGCAGGTAGTTCTTCCACCACCCCAAAGGGATGTCTGATCTGATCAGGTCATTCACTTCACAGTGACAAAATTATGATTTTACAGAGAGGCCGAGGGATTTTGCCTATGGTCACACTCAATACCATTGTCATAAAATGAATTCGTCAATGACAGGTGAATCATAGGATGAGGATACAAGTAAATCATACATCATGAAATGGGTAAATGCATTGAAAGAATCTCCAAATTAAAAAAAAATTCACTGAAGCCAAAGACAGCCTCTCACAACAACGCTAGCTGGTTCACCGACTGCCAATGGGTTCCTAGAAAAACTTACTTATCAGGGGAGGCCTGTACTACAAGAGACCCACCCTCCAAAAAAAATAATTCCGGTTTTCTTTTGGGTGTCCCTTCATAATCTTTAGAGTATATAATATACTCTAAAGATTAAATGAGATAATGTAGGTGAGACACAAGGCATAGTGCCAGGCACTTAGTAGTGCTCAACAAATGGTTAGCTAATACGATAAACCCAGGATGATGGTGGTGGTGGTGGTGATATATGCCATGTTTCCACCCTCAGAGAGCTAAGGCCTGCCAGTGAAATACTTCCTCCAACTAGAATGATATCCACAGGTGTGCCGCTCCTTCATATGGACTTAGACACATGTCTATTTGCAACTCACCAGTCGTAAATTGTGAGTTTTATTTTTTCACACACCGAAGGAAACTGTAAAATGAAACAGAAGAAAGCAGTTACTTCCCTATGTGCTCAGTTACTGTTAAAATAAGTATCCTTATTTTTTCTCAAGTAAAAGGAAGTCAAACCTTGATCTGGAGGTTGACGACTTGATTCCACTCAGGGTTTGCATTTTTCTCAATTATATTTGTGCAAACCTGCAAAATCACCAAAGCAGAACCGTGATTGTCAAGTCTCTAATTTCTTTTCTTTTCTTTTTTTTTTTGAGTCTGAGTCTCACTCCGTCACCCAAGCTGGAGTGTAATGACACGTCACGGCCACCCTTGCCTCGACCTGCTGGGCTCTGGCAATCCTTCCACCTCATCCTTCCAAGTAGCTGAAACTACAGGCGTGCGCTACCACGCCCGGTTCAATTTTGATGTATTGTAGAGACGAGGTCTCGCCAAGTTGCTGGGGCTGGTCTCAAACCCCCAGGGCTCAGGCAAACCACTCTCCTCGGCCTCCCAAAGTGCTGGGAGTTTCCAATATATGCACTAAGTTATATACTTAGTAATCTGGTTAAACTTAGTTTTTCTTCATAATGATTTGGTAAAATATGACATGAGTTTAATATTGATCTTAGTTTCTTTTTTTTTTTTTTTT